CTCATAGCACACATTAATTTCCTTTCAGATTTGACTTAAAAATGTAGAAATGAAACTCAAGCTTCTCATGATTCTTTACCCGGAACTAGGTTGAATTGAATTGAATCAGCACACATTTCACTTAGAATTGGTGATGATGTCGTTCACAAGAACGATGAAAGCTCCCGAAAATACCATCCAGCTCAGAGAAGAAAACTACATCGAAGACTAGAGACGATAAACCGTTAATCGTAGGTATAATCACTGTCACTTCTAATATTTCATCATTTGTTTAAAATGTGTGTTCTCATATATTAAGCAGAATGTAAATAATGAAACTATTTCAATTTCTGTATGCATTAGATGCATGGTGATTTCTTATAAAACAACTGGTCTGCCACATTGAGATGGATATGATACTACACTTACTCAGTTCTTAGATTTTCAGGCATCACGAAAGGTACTGCTCGGAGATTGGACAAGAGTTACACGAATATATTGCAAAGTTTTGTTTCAGCTTTTCATTTCAGGTGAATATATCTGTAGTTTTTGAGTTCTACGTGCGTGATATTTCAACGGATACTTCAAATGTTGATCCACACAGCGTCATCCATGCTCACTGTTGTTCTAGTGAGCTGCAATGATGTTTAGTGATTTTCGCGTAGACTAGATGAAAAATGACTGATGAAGTGATCAGACTCTTGAATATATACTTGCTCAGTCAAATGTTGACGAGTAAATCAATCTAAACAATCTATTCATTTCGTTAATAACATGAACATAGCATGAGATAGTGTATTTCATCAAATGTGGTCAGTATTAGATACTGTAAGGTTGACACTGTAATCTGTGTAAATTGCATGAATCAAAAGGATAGAAATTCTGTCACGTGAAGTTTTCCATATCAGGTGAACCATGTCAGAATCAGTGTAAAGTCCAATATGATATTTGGCGCGCTTTGTGGGAGTGGCGTTACAACAAGCAATTGATGCTCGATAATGGATGTTGTTAAAGTCCAGAGCAGTGAATCAAAGATTTCGACATGGACGTATTACGTTTTCCACCCCGATAGTAATGTCAGATAAATTCTGGAGGCAAAATGATGGTGTAGCACAAAGTCGTATGTTACACAAATATTTCCTTTGGTATTCCATGAGGGTGCTGGGAACGGGAAGGGGAGAATTGAGACGGCCCTTGTTCATGAATAGTGAAGTTAAGTCATTTGTGATTGAACAAATAGGGAATGACTACTTAGACAGCCATGAGTCAAAGATATATTTTGCATGATCCTATTAGTTGCCTTATTTTCACTCGCTAGGTTCAATCTTTTAGGGGGGACGAGATCTTCTTCTTGGAAAACCTTTATGTTGTGGAGACGGTTAATCACTGCTTATCTAAATGACTGTTATCTCCTTAATAAACTCGATTGTTCTAGATGAGATAGAAGTATGACTAGTCGGGCAATAGTTCCCAAATGCAGTCTAAATACTATTTCAAAGTGAGGGATGATGTAAGTAGTATCTACTGGCCGAGAAGTGCCTCAATCAAGGGACAGGTTGAATAATTTAACAAGCTGGACATGAATGTCAGAAACCCTTTATTTAATGAAATTAGCCGGTATTCCATCACAACCACATATGAGAGAATGTTTTACTGGGCTTATTGAACCTCTCAAAATACTCGGAGTATATTATAGGTCTGCTGATGTACGTGAATGTAAACTGCTGGTTCTTTGTTTATTCTGATTGCTTTCGGTAAATGATTGAGCAAATGTGTTTCTCAGCATCTCACATAACTTCGCTGAGTCTGTTATACGTAAATCCGTGATTTTTAGGACAGCTGGATTATTAGACCGGTTACAAAGCTTCTTCGCCACAGCAGCTGTTGAAGAGTTATTTTTATTTTGTAAATTGGAAGGTCGTCGTTCAGTGTCCAATTTCTTTGTTTGTCAAAAGCTTTCAATATTGCTAAGTACAGATTGACTGTTAAGAATAGCAAAAAAGTTATTTTGGACAAAGCACGTTCTCCGCAACTTTCTCAGTTTAATTCCGAATTTTTTAGGAGTGTAATCAGGGATGTATGATATTTTCCGTTATAATTGTGAAGTTTAAGTGCTGACACGTTTCCAGACTAGATTAGCACTTTTATAAATTTTGAAAAGTAAGAATGACTGCGTAATGTATCTCTTCTAACGCCATATTGAGCTCGCCACCTGTTAATGACGATAAGTATGAGAATCCTTGGTTTAAATGCGTATCCATCACATGACCGGCATTCGGTTGTCAATAGATGCAACCTATTATAAAATGCTAAAGGGTGCAACTATCTATAGTCATTACCATAACATCGTCTTACTATTAACATTGCCATGGAAATTATAGTGTACACAAAGCAAAGTTGCACATATATTATTCAGCCTCCACCTTCGTCTGAATTTTAACCTTAGAGGTACATTCTGTAACCACCGACATAGTCTCAGGTGAGCACTCGGTTTCAGCAATTAAAATACACCATGGATTGACCAGGTAAGCTGGAGGTCTGAAATCACCCATATTACTACCGAAAGGGCGTTAACTGCATAAAACAACGGAAAGCTGTGAAGGTATAATCAAATAAGACGAATCGGTATCCAATCTATTGAGTGAAAGATTGTTTTGTTCAATGTTCATGCGATTGAGATTTGCGGATGATTCTTTATAATAAGTCACTGATTTTTGATTGCTACAAGGCAAATGTCCCTCAACTTAGTTGAGTGTGTGTGATCAGTGAGATTGTATACAACTGAATTGCAGGGGTAAACCACTCTTTCAGTTAACTTTCCAGCCACGAACTCTGAAATACATCAAGATTACGTGAGTTATTCAAGATTTTTATCAATATTATGATACCATATATGTGTGATGTGTGTTTATTAGTTTGGTCTACCGTTAATTTCGGCTAAAGAGTTTTGTAACTGACAGATATCATTGCTGAGTCGATCAGTATATTGTTATGTATGAGATAAACCACTGGAGAGTTTGTCATTCGAAATTTTGGATTTCGGCCTTAATGAATCATGCTGACTTGTAGATTACGTTGACTTTGACGGAGTTTTGTTCTCTGAGCTGGATGGTTTGGTTGTGGAGATTTCATCGTTCTTCTGAACGACATCATCAGCACAAACTTCAGATAGAAGTGAAGTGCTCGAATTTCTCCATATATGTTTCACGGCTTATTCCGTGCACCCCCATGTTGATTGGTTCTTGTTGACCTTAAATTTATCATTTCATCAAGTGTTGATTACATGTTATCGCAAATGTAGCATGTATGTAGAATGAATAACTCAGTATATATTATGAATGTTCAATAAGACAAATAACTTTCATTTATCCTCTAATGATGTTGTTGTTTAGTAATCTATACTGACCTACGTTAACTATTACTGTAATCAATGAGTTTTCAGATCGATTCATTTCATTAGAAATCATATAAATATATGAACTGTAAATATTCAATCCACAAATCCTTTTTATCAATTAAATTAATGTCAGAATCATCAACAACAATCAATTTATTGGAGTTGGTCTTCCGAGAACAGGAACGAGTAGTTTGAAAACTGCATTGGAAATACTTCTCTCTCAGCCATGTTATCATATAATTGAAACGATGACGAAAAACCAGTATGATGTTGATAGATGGCAAAAATTGTTCAATGAAGCTCGAAAGACAAACTCAGATGAAATGGTGATACACAGAGGTTTGAGTGAAATACTGAATGGTTATGCGTCAGTGACAGATATTCCGGCATGTGGGTTTTATAAGGAACTCATGACTGTATACCCTTACTCGAAGGTATATTCAGTGTTATTTTTGAAATTTCATGATATGTGTGAATTGTTTATTGTAACATAATGTAAATAATGAGACTATTTCAAAGTCTGTATGTGTTGTATTAAATCAACTGGTCGTTCAAATTTGGATGGATACAATAGTTTACTTACCAAATTATTTTAAAAATACTCTCATATTTTTGGAGTGAATCTTTTTCTTCCTTTCTTTCCTTCGGTCAACTGTTCTCATTGATTTGTTTACAACATATTTGTAAATTAGGAAGCATTTATGAGTTTCGCGCCTAAGCGTTGAACTACATTATTGATTTGTCGATCACAGAAGACTTCAAAATTATGAAGTAATCAGTATTCCTACGTTTGAAAGTGGAAACCATCGTGATTGAACAGTTTGTTGCTAACTCAGGTGTCACCAGGTTTCGATGCTGTTTGTTGTAACGGCGGTAAAGATTCCCAGTCCAATTGAATACTGGTGATATTCTTGAGTCCTATGAGCATAATATTTAAGTGGGTTAGTCGTAAATGCTTATCAAGACAACATCATTCACGCTTACTTCAACCATTGGTGAACCTCACAGTTGTTCCAGTGAACTGGAATGATATTTGATGGTTTCTGACTAGATTAAACGAAAGATAACTGATGAAAGTATTAAAAACTTGGAAATATACCCACTTGCCCAACTGCCAATGAGTACATTAATCGAAGCTATCTCCTCGTTTTCTCAAAAAAACAAACTGGTTTATTTCAGAGGGTACAAACAGGTATATTCACCCACTTGAGAGGGTGTCTGGTGACTTCTCGCTTCGAACATATTTAATGCAGCTGGCTGTCACTTACTCATCACACGGACATTGCTGTTACATAGTCATTGCCCTCCTGAAGTTTGTGACATATATATCAGCATTAGCGCTCTTTCTCGGAAGGCTGATATTTGCCTCATCCCATTATTTCCAACCATAATTTTTGTTATGTTTTTAACCTGATAAACTGGTTTGCCAATTTCATTAGACATAGGGCAAACATGTCGTTAGTTTCTTGTGCTTACCCAAGCGCGTTTACTTTGCATATGCCCACACACGTAACTCATATGCATAAGCATGCAAATTAGACAGCTCGCAAGAATTTAAAACCGTTTATTCTCTTATTACTGCATATCACACTATTAAATGATTATTTCACTTGAATTTTATTCAATGCTGCAGTTTGTATTGACAATTCGTGATAAAAACGACTGGCTGTCAAGTCTACGACAAACAATATTGCCGAAAACCAGTCATTCAAACACACTAGTGGTGGATAAAGTCAAGCATATACTGGGACTTGATGCGCGATTTTTAAAAATGGCATTTGATTCACTGACATTCGCATTTCGTAAAGGTGAAATTGACTTTGATGATGATGCGGTATTATTAGAGTGTTTCGATGAATATAACGAATTGGTAGTTGGCAGTGTACCATCAAGTCGCCTTCTAATACATAAACTTGGAGATTGTTGGGAGCCCTTGTGTAAGTTTTTGAATGTGAATGTACCTCGTTGTATAACATATCCTCATGTCAATGATCGGAACGAAACTCAGAAGCGTGTCGATGTGCTCAAAGAGATTGGTATCCTCTTGGACCATTAGACCACGTTGTCTTGGAAGAAGTCGTGGGGTCTGATTATCAGACGTTTGTAGAATATCATCGAACAGATCAGATAAATTTATTTAACGAATAAACGACTGAATAACATTGAGATCTTACTTGTTTTGTATAATTACGGAATATCATTCGGAAATATTCACGAAGTTTGCATTTGTAGAATTATGGTATACCTCGATATCAGTACTGCTCTAACAATAGACTTAATCCTTAAATTGTAGATATGCCATGATTTAACTGCCTAATCTATAAGATCTTACTTGACAGTCACATCATTGTCTGCCCTGAATCATCTTATTGTACCAATCATTAATATATGATGAAAAACAGGTTTAGGCTGGAGATAGAACCATGTATTCGATATGGATAAAAAACTGTTACTTAAGTAAGAACACGCCTGCAATGCCGACCCATGCTATCCGATCAATTCGAATTAATGGAATTTATTCTTCCCGAGCACTCCATCGTTGGGTTTTTCTCCGCGATAAATGTTGAATACCTATGTTCCTGGTCGTCTCGTGTTCAGCATTGAGGATTGTGTGGTTTGATCCCAATACCACTACACACTCATCACTGGGTGGGTTCGTTGCAAAGTTCACTTCGTTTGCTAAATCACCTATACATGTCATTTATAAGTCACACAACAAACACTTAGTATTTATAACTGCTGTAGTTACTTTGAGAATTAACCGGTTGCAGTGGAATAGACATAGTGAAACGTGGAATTAGGCTTCACTTTGTACTGCTCATAAGAATTTCAGTGAATACATTTCGTTTGATTATTTTCGACAGCGAACTCATTTGTTAGACCGTGCTTCATATTTGACATGCTGACCGATTTCGGTCAAAAAAATATGAATTTTGGAAAATGTAAACTTCACCAGACACGAACTGTCACGAAATTACAAAACTGAACTTAAAATGTTTTTTCGAATATAAGTCCCCTCTGGAATGTACACTTTTAACTTAACTGGAGACTCGCTTATGAATTCGAAGTATGAGGGAAAGTTAAGTAAACGACGATCACGAAATGTCATGTTAGGTGATTGTTACACAACGAAAATACACGAATGAGACAAGTGATGACTACATTACACAGTTTTAGGAAACCAAATGTGCTCAGGTGAAAGATGAGTACATGACTACAGCTTCTCTAAGTTTGACGTCTGTTGAGGTGACACTGAAAATTATGAATCAGTTAATCGCTATGCTGAATGTTATCTTCTCATAAAATGAATCTTCAGAAAAGCAATAACATGTTAAAGTCATTTGATCTGTAGTGGATTACTGTGCTGACCAATTATTGATCTTTCACAATTTCGTTTCGATCATTATGGATCTTTTGTTCGCATTTCTGAAGGATCCTCACAGATTGTCGTTCATAGAGTTCATCAGCTTGACAAATGCTTTCAGTACGTGAATTTATTATTCCATCTGGATACAATCCAAATATTGGAGATTACTGACTATCATCATGTCCTTTGTCAATTTGCAGTCCATATGGCTGGTTAATTGAATAAATCTAAGGGATTTCGTCTGCCTACTCTCCTCCTTCCTCTTTATTATGGTAGTCGACTGGATTATGAAGACCTCGACATATGAGGAGAAGCACGGAATACGACTGACAGCTCAGAACCAGTTAGAAGATTTGTATTTAGCCCTTCTATCTCATACACACCAAGTGCAGATGAAGAAAACTGATGTAGCAACAGTTTCTGCATCAGTAAGCCTCAACATACACAAAAGAAAAACAAGATCCTCAAATGCAACATGAAGAACACCAACGCAATCACATTTGATGATAATGCTCTGGAAGACTTGGAATGCTTCACGTATCTGGGAAGCATCATCGACGAACAAGGAGAATCAGTTACAGACATACGGGCGAGGTTTTGACAAAGTAAGGGCCATATCACTACAAATGAAGAACGTGTGGGACTGAAAACAACTGTTAACCAGTATCAAAGTTGATATCTTCAATACGATCATCAATATAGTTCTCTCGAACTGGGCTGAAACGTGGAGAGCAACTTCAACCATCATCAAGCGAGCGCACGTATTTATCAACAATGGTCTACTCAAGATACCCAGTATCCGTTGGTCGGATACCATGATTGACAGCCTCTTATGAGTGAAGCACAAAACAAGAGGATATTCTTGAATGTTGATCAATAGACATATGTTTTATCGATTGTGGTTTGAAATTATTTGCAAATCTGAGTTATGCATTCAACCATGATATTAGTAAACCACCGCCCAATAAGTACATAGCAGGTTAGTCGATAGTGTTTTATACGTCCATAACATCACTGAGGTCAAAAATGAAGTGATCTAGGTGTCGAATCATCGGTTTAAATAATATACACTCAGATCAAATCTCGAAGGTTCCAATTTGACTACTGACTAACTTGTGGCTTGAAATTTACGGGGTATTCCTTACCAAGATAAAAAGACTGTCTAATAGTTTTGATTTATGATCGGTATGCAGACAGCTTTAGTTTAAAGTGTAGATTACATATAATCAATTGTAATCAACCTAATGAATAATTCAGCTAGTATTTCTTTTAAGTGGTTCGATATTACTCGTCAGTTCATCATTTATTGATGTTCTTGTTGTTCTTGTGAGTAGGATATCAAATGAGAATATTGGATTGTTAGACGTAGTTTATTGACATTTTGTCACTATCATTCACCTTAGCACTATAAATTGGCTAGTGTACATGTAGGATGTAATAAAGCGGAGGGAAGCTGATCTTTGATATAATCATAGTCTATGATATAAATGACTGCAAGTCTTTTACTAAGAAACATATGAAAAATATTAAGAACTTCAACAAAGTCAGATCATGGATGTTATGCTGAACATCGTTCACGTTAATTTAATTCGGAAAATTTGGTATTTTGAATAAACATCCCACTGATATGATCCAGACTTATATTGAAATTAAAACAACATTACATTGAGTGATCATAGTAATGAAATGAAAAAGAAAGTTTAAAAAAATTTCGGTAAAGCGTATTTCTTAACCAATTGCACAATGTCCATCACCTCAACATATACACATAGTTGTAAAGATTATCCCATGATTGGAAAAAAATAGATGAAAATGTGATTTGATTTCTAAGCAGAACTGGAAAAAATGGATAGAAAATGTGATGAACAATATGGTGAACCTACAATCGACTGATTACTGATTTGTGACTATTTCCTTTGTTGATGAGTACTGAATATGACTAGACCTTGGTTAAATGTCTCCTGGTCACTATGTTCAATCACTTATCTAGATAAGAATGTCAAACGGTCAACCAGAGGGAATTGTAGATATCTAGCAATATTAGTCGAGATCAATATCTTTCACAATTATTAATTCATCAACAATCTACAGACTAGTGTATCTGATTTTAAGATGCATGATTCATTTTTGGCCAAGTTATAGTACTCGAATGTGTAATTCGAAGCAGATGGATGGTGGTTGGGACTTGTAAATTAGTGGGTGAAATAAAAAATTCAATTACTGTACTATCACTAAACATCAAAATACGTAAAACCACTCTTTGCTTTGAAATGGCGATTGACTGGACGATAGACTGGCAAGTGATTCAACACTTTGACATGATAATGATAATTTATCTTGGTTGAATAGCATGCTTTATTTACACCTACGTAATAGTTTGAATAATGTTTATCGGCAGATCACAAAAGTACACTTGCTGCATATTCAAATTTCTAATCTTCAATACTGACCATCATCCATCTATACATAGTGATATCGCAACGGAAATTACATGTATATCAGATAATTCTCTCTCAGAATGTTTTCACTCTGTGATAACACGTTTTTGGCATTTGATCTGTCCTCAGTGATCATCAGTGTTCTGATTGTATATAAATATCACCTATCAGTTTCATGTAATAAACACATTTTGTGGCTGACATGATATCAGACAATTCAACATCACTGTTGTTTATTGGAGCTGATCTACCCAGAACAGGAACGACGAGTATGGAAGAAGCACTGGAAATAAGTCACTCTCAACCATGTGATCATGTGACTGAAATTGTGACCAAGAAGCATTGTGATGTTAGCAAGTGGCAGACACAATTCGATGAAGCTTTCAACAAGACGTTCGATGAAACAATGATACACAGAGGTTTGGGTGAAATGTTGGATGGTTATGTAGCTTTGAGCGGTGTTTCGGCATGTGCGTTCGACAGAGAGCTGATGATTATATATCTGAATGCAAAGGTAGGATCAGTGGTATTTTTGAGAAGTGTTTGATTATCCAATGATTTATGACAAATTTACAAGCAAAAAATCTTTATTTTATACTATCATTTCAATTCAGTGTGACCGTCTCATTCAAGAGTGACTTAATTCCGATCTGAAATAATCACAAACTGGATGATACGGATTTGCCAATCACACAAACTTATGATTTGTTTGTGTTTCCTCCCATGAATCAACAGTACACTTCACACATCCGTCACTGAATTGAACTTTGAAAGTACGATGAAAATCGGGCACTCGTTTGCCATTTGAGAGATTGATTGACCTGCTTCTTATTTTCAAATTGTTGTTGAACCGTCAGATTTGTGTTTTTCGAATGAATACGTCGATTATGCTAAATAAAGATTGTCGAAATCTCCAACATTCGACTATTAACTTAATTTACAAAAGTTATTGTTTATCTTATTGTGTAGTTATAGACAGTTGTCACAAAACTCCAAAGTTCTGGAGATTAACTTGTTAACGGGTATGAAGGAATTAGTAAGTTTTTTGTTATCCACCACCGTTGATATTAATAACTGAATATCAGTGACGTGAGACAACATAATTTCACTACGTCTTACGTACATATACTTGGTTTGTCGATGTTTATGTATATCTGTATATTCAGCAAATTACATACACAGCAAATTACATGCCTATGACTTTTGTATTGGTATTTTGCCTGTTTCAGGTCATATTGACTGTATGCGATA